ATCTCTCACCGACTGTTGAGTTCTTGGCGGTAACTCGAGCCGGAGTGAAAACCAAAGAACTCCAGTTCTAAAAAAACCGGGAGAAATGCGCAAATGCATTTGCTGTTGCAGAAAAATTTTGAATAATGGTCAACGCAGTTGTCTCATAATTTAGCTAAGGGCCCAAACAGATAAATTTCATAGCCTGTGGTTTTTATTCCAATTCTACCACTGACAATCTTTAATCAGTTGCTTTGACCAATGCTGCATTGTTTGGTGGTCAGCTTGCTGGCAATCCTAACGTTCATTTCGTATCTTATAACGATTTTCAGCCCAATGGCTGTTCCTACAGAAGCATTTGGCAAGGGGCTTTTAGGCTTTTTTCTAGAAAATGATGAGATATATTATTTACCCGGCGAAGTATTGCATATTTAAAGAAGCACTATTCTGACGAATTACTAAAAAATTGTCATACCTTTTTTGCAAAAAATACCAACACAGTTCCACGAAAAACGTGTACATAAAATATAAAAGTATAAAAGTGAAAACAACTAACATGTTTCGATCAGGCCAGAACGCTTCTGGGATTGGCCAATGGCCAGGATAGGATCGTGATGCACGCGAATATACACTACATGTAATGCTACGCCAATTTTCAACACCGGACAATTTTTCCACATTCAATTCACCGTTTTTTTTGCAATTTTCCACTAAACCGTTTGCTCGATCTACAAGAAAAAAAAAGAAGCTCATATAAAAGAATCTTGTTTTCTTGTAAATTAATGTATTAATCACATTTACCTTTCTTGACTTTAAAATTTTATTTTGTTTTTGTTCTTACTTTTTCTTATCTTTCATTGTTTTACATTGTTTTTATGCTTTTATTTTGTTTTTTCTTTTTAGTTTTCATTTTTTAATTTATTTTACTTTCTCTTTTACTTCTGTTTTGTTTTTAATTTTTCCTTTATTTGCTAGATTTGATCAAAAATGTGATAAAATTTGCCCTATTTGATAAAAATAAACATATTTGATGGAAATTTTTTTATATATCAACTTCACTCACTCTTTCTTTTTATTACTCAATTAACTTATATTATTACATTACCTATTCTATTGTAATAGAACAATTTAAATTTTAATCAAATTCATACTAATTACCACAATCGTCGTATTGACAAGGTCCAATTGTGGTAATGGTAAGAAATGTATGCGACTTAATGGACGGGAACATTTCTTACCATTAAAAATATTTCCAATATTTTATTAGTTCTTCTTTTAAAATTAAAATATTTTATTTTGTTTATCTTAATACAGTGGGGAAATACATGCGTCAGCTTACCGATATCAAAAAATATAGCTACTTGAAAAGTATGAAAAAACAAATAAATTTCAAAAAAAGTACCAGGAATTGGCGGAGGATCGGGTCCAATTTTTTCGAAATGCAAAACAATGCCCTGCTGCTGCAGCTTCTGGATAATTGATTCTATACAACTGGACAACATTTTATGTGAAGTGATGCAATAGGAGCGTCCTGGAAAGTAAAAAATATATAAATTTCTATTCATTTCTATTCCACAGTGAAGGAAAAAAATAAATTCGAAAGAGAAGAAGCGAATTTTCGGCGAAGCCCCGACAAGATACCTCATCATGGTCTGAGACAAGGCGGTAATGCTAAGCACTCCGGCAACTCAAAATGGGTAATTTTACCCAGCTTTTTTCACTCGGAAAATCACTGAACTGGGCAAATTCCTCAAAAAATTATTCATTTTTAATGAAAAGCGAATAAAATTTGCCCAGTAACAACTATAGATCACTGGCCAGTACGTGGAAACTGCGTGGGTAAGCCCATTTTGGGGAGGGGGCCTTTACGTGCATGTAGATCAATTTCCCGAAGTTCCAGCCTTGTAACTTTTGTAGATCTCGGAATGAAAATTTGGTGCGGATGTGCGCGCGGACACACAGACGCACACAGACAATCCCTCAACAATATGCATTTTTTCATTACATAGATGCAAAAAACGCATAATAAAAATAGGGCTGTGATATCTCCGTGTTTCGAAAACTCCTTAGAAGCAAGATAGTATAGCGGGTTTGTCTGCCCAAAGCACGCCAATACTAATTTACTGCCTTTCCCTTTCTTTCCTTGCGTCTTTCTCTTTTCTCTTCCTTTTCCATTAAACACTGCTGCGACCGACATATTGACGAGGTCCTGTCGTAGTGTACGTTGAGTTAAGACGTATATGACTTAATGGTCCCTGCCGTCTAATACCCTTCACTGATTGGGCCGCTGCTCCGGCCCTTCTTTTTTTCTTCATAGGGCCTTTTGGGACCGTACTGCCTTTTGTTTTAATGGATCAAAACGTCTTATCTCACTCTTGCCTCCTTTTTTCTCATACCCCTTCGGCTTCCTGGGGTCATCTTGATTGCTACAATCGGCTTATCATCGAAACGAATGAACGAATCGTAAAGCAAATGGTTGCCTCGCCAACGGAATTGAATCTCCGAAGCTCGGCACGACAGCCAACGTTCGAGAACTCAATTACCACTTGTTTGCGTAGTAAAAATTCAAAAAATAACTGATATTTAAAATGTGATTGTC